GTGGTGAGCAAAACAGACCCTGCCCTGCCCAGGACTGGGCACCTCTTCCTGGAGTGTCCATTGTGCTCAACAGTTTTGAAGAGGAAGTATTTGGAAACAAGTAACAGATCAATTCTAGAGTAGAATTCAGCATGCTTATTCAAGATGTCAAGCTGTGCCCACATACTTTGGGGAGGTTAGGAACTCAGCATCCTCTGTGCTTTTGGGGGGGTTCTTAGTAGAAGAGTAGATTGGGGTTGGAGGAGAGATGGCCCAGTTTGCCAGCAATTTCAGCCATGGAGCCAAAATTTAAGAGTCTGGGGGCGGGGCGGGGGGAATCTGGAAAGACTGCATCTGGTCCGGCCAGAGTTCAAACCCCAGTGCTGGAATTTGACTTTTGTGACTTGGGGCGGTGTATTTGATCGCCGGAAGATTCAGGTTTCCATCTGTATAATGGGTGCATGGATGCGTGCTCCTCAGATTTGCCGTGGGAGAGAGAGAAGGTATGTGGAGGACTCGGCTCAGTGCCTGGCACAGAACGAGCGCTCAGGCCATTGTGTTAGTCACTGGCTAGTGATGCTCTTTTGAATGAAAGGCTGTTGTTGGTGACCAGGGTGAAACATTTTCTGGAACAAAGACAGGCAACTGAAGACTGCACCTCCAGTTTGCAGAATGATGGCCACACAGAAGTGGCTTGTAGCTCCCCACCTTTTTTGTGCTTGACCTTCCCCTCGTGTCCAGTCTGGACTGGCCCTGGCCGGAGCCCCTCCACCCCCCTCCCCTGTATACCACGGGTTCCTCGCCCTCTCCTCAATATGAGGCCATCACCGCAGGACATAATGACCTGTTTACCGGACCTGGTGTTTCTTACTCATCTGCTAAATGTTTGCTGAATGAAGAAATGGAATGGGAGTGACCGTGGCAGGGTCGGGGGTGGGGGACGTGTTTTTCTCCTACAAACCGTTCAAGCAGCCTTTCCCTTTTCCCCCCTTCAGGTGTCTAGCAATCCAGTAGGCTTAAAGTAGGCCACAAGGGGAAGACGGGGGAACTGTAAGGGAAATCCTACAGGCAGATTTTTCCTTACTGGGATTTTGCTCCATATGACCGGCACTTTCTGGTGAAAGGAGTCCTGAGCCAGGAAGACTGGAAACGTGTGCACATTTAGAGCTTGAAGGACATCAAAATGTCCTTTAATTCATGTACAGTGCTCACCATGAGAGCTGCCATTTTCCATGTGCAGGAACGGTGTTCGGCACCAGGGCGTTGGACACCCCCATGCCAGCCCAAGGAGGAGGTTCTGTTAGAGCCCCACTTGGCTGGTGAGGCAGCCGAGGTCCTGAGGAGAGGAGTGATAGGCGTGCAAGCACTGAACAAGCATGCGAGACTCAGACTCGGATGTCCTGTCTCCGAGACCAGTACTCTCCCCCATGCTGGTTAGGATCAGGTGTCTTGTGGGTGATGGTACAGTGCTGGGTCTGAGGATAAACAGGGAAAACAGGACCGACTGGCTGAGACTCCCCCCAGCTCTGGGAATAATTCACTGTGCAACCCCACGCAAATTGCTCTACTTCTCTCTGCTCAAGAAGAAGCACCCCACCGGCTGAAGGATAATAATAAATACCATCAGTAATAAGAGTAGCTAACGTACCTGCTGACAGGATTCTCAGCATGTTACGTGTGTTGCCTCCCTCGGTCCTACAGGGTGGGTTGGGGCTAATTAGGGGAAGGGGAGGACAGAGCATTGAAGGAAAGGGATTAAGGAGAGCCGTGTGGTTGCCCAGGGCATGGGGGATTCAAGAAGCTTAGGAGTCAGTTAGTGAGCCCAGAACACAGCGGGGCAAGGTGAGGCAGGGCGAGATGAGCGGGGGGGCCAGACTTTGCAGGGCTTTGGAAGCCCTGGGGTAAGGAATGTGGTCTCTATCCTGAGACAAATGAGGGATCCATGAGCTGCACCCTCACCCCCGGCCCCCGGCCCACCTCTGCACACACTGTCCTTTCTCATACTCAGACTAGAATTTATCTTCCTCTTTTTTTATACTGTGAGTTTCCCAAAGGTGAGGACCGGGTCTTATTTATTTATGCCTCTCTGGTCCTTAGCACACAATTGGGTGTATATAGGTACTCCATAAATGACTGTTAATCAAATGTTTAATATACTCAGGATTTAGTATTAACATATTCCATATTGAATAAGTAGATATCAGTACCTGTAATGCAGCTGACATAATGAAGGCGTTTCTGCTATAAAATGATAGATGCATTCCTGTAAAACCTTGCATTCCAAAAAATTCAAAAATCACAGCGCTCTGGGGGACCATTGGGGGACAGCAGAGCCCTCACGACCCACCCGAGTCTGTAATGAAGCACAGTCCTAGTGAGGATACAAGTGCAGTTCAAAGGGCATGCTAAATTGTGAATTAAAAAACTACATCAGTAACCTAGGGTCTGAGTCACTGCCCGGGCTAGATTTTACAAAGGAAGAGGGGGCTTGATGGGAGGGGCTGGGGACAGTTGGAGGCTGGGAAGGCAGAAAGGGACAGATGCCTTTCTCAGAAATTCCAGGTAGAAGGGCAGCTGCAGCCTTTGCCACTGGGTAGCAGAGATAGATGGGCTAGCCCATGGCCTTTGCACAAAGACCCGAGAGACCTGAGCAACAGGGGTTGCTAAGACAGAGCACGTGGCCACGCTGAGCCGAGAGGCGGGGTATGGCACAGGTGGGCGTCTGGACAGCCAGGAGCCCTCCTGGCTTGCTGCACTCAGCTGTGTCCAGGGGCTTTGCATCCAGTTGCCGTCATGTGGAGCAAAACATTAATGTGCTGGGAACATTTGCCTATGAGCCTCCGCGACCTCCTGATTTTACTGACGTCATCCCCTACCTTCTGTGAGCTAATCTGCCTTAGGGAAGACAGTGCAGTGGAAGGAAAGATCTAACGTGTAATATGTGAGTAACTGATAAACCAAGCACGCCAGCTGGCCAGTTTCCATGAAGAAAGGTAACCGTCACACCCCCCTGTGTGGGTTGTGGACCATTTTCCTCTTGGCCCATGAGTCTATTCCATAAACGCATTCTGTGAGCAGAGTGTAAAGCAAAGCCATATGGAGCTGGGTGAAACTAAGTAAGAGCATCATAAACCTGTGACGTGACGGCTCTGCCCGCCAAGAGCAGCTGAGCTGTAAGAGGACCTCAACCCCAACCTGCCCAAAAGCTGTGTGACCTCAGGAAAATCACTTAACCTCTCTGTGCCTCATTTTCCTCAACTGCAAAAAGTACTGGTGACACTCCCCAAGTTCTTTTAAGGAGCGATTAGCTAATGGATGAAAAGCTCTTTCTAAACTCTAAAGGGCTTTACAGAGTATTGGCCTTCCTGCATATCAGTGCCTGAGATACTAAGGTTCGATGGTTCCCTGGGTACCTCCTCCGCTGGATGGTTAGTTCTAAGTACAGGGGTCAGAGAGCTAAACTCCCTGGAATCGGCATAAATTAACCACTGGGATTAATGTAGAAGCTTGACTTTTCCTGCAGGAAGGAGGCCCAGCACCTTCAACTGGAAAATTTTCATGGGCCCTCACAAAAGTGGGGAGGAGGGGAGCCAGCCTGCCATGTGCAATGCCTCCCTCCCTGAGTGCTCTCCAGGGACCCCTCCCGCTGTGGAGCCTGAGGTCATCCACCCACCCCTGGCCCACTGCCCTTCCCTTAGCCCTCCCACCAAGCCGGGCCTGCCGACCCCTTCGGCTCCCCCAAGATCACGCCGTGAAAAGGAACACTGGGCTTGGATCGGCTCTACCACTTACTGGCGGTCAGACCACCGTAGCCAAGTTGTGGCTGCTTGAGCCTCTTTGACTCACCTGAAGAATGGGCTCTGACTTCCTTCCTTCCTTCCTTCCTTCCTTCCTTCCTTCCATGGTTACGGATGCATATTACTACACCTTCCAAGACTGCAAAGGAGAACTCTGCAGACTTTAGTGAGCCCAGGAATCACCCAAGAAGCCTGTTAGGAAGCAGGTTCTGACTCCGTAGGATCGGGTGGGGCCTGAGACACTTTTTCCAGCAAGCTCCCAGGTGATGCGAGCTTCCCTTTGAAGAACAAGAATACAGAGCAGGTGCATACAGCGCCCGGTGCGTGGTAACATGTCCGCAGAAACCGTTGCGGTGAAGATTCTTCTCCCCCCACCTCCACCCCCCTCCAGTCAAAAGGTTCTTCTTTGCCAACAGGCAGAGATGAAGAGAGAGCCCTCTGCTCACCTCAGAATTCTTAGGGAAACAAGAGAAAACAAGTTTCGCTTTGGAGGCAGGCTGGGTGTGGGGAGTGAGGAGCACGGCCTGCACGGCTCATCAGCACGCTGATCCACGCTCCCACGTGCGCTGCAGGTGGGCCTCTGCCGGCTGCAGAAACCTCTAGAGCTCAGGCCTCAACTTGCCATGCTGGGAACGCAGCCTCTGAGCCGGGCACACGCCTTATTCCTCCGGCTACAGCTCTCCTGAGGAATTTTCAAAGCACACACAGGGTTCGCTTGGCAGGAGTCTCCCAGGATATAAATACGCATTTGGGGCTTTTGTTTGAAGGACTGCAGTATCTTTTTGACTTGAGGCCTGCGCACAGGGCTTTTCCCCTCACCTTCATCAAAATGGAACCGCACACAGCCAGCCGCTGCTAGGAGCCGACTCCAAAGACTCCAGGAGAGCCCGAGTGAGGTGCAGGAGACACCTCCCCACCCCGCCCCATCTGATCCTGCTTTTGGTTTCCCTCTCCTGAAAGGCCTGCTTCTCCACGAGCTGCTGACTCACCCAGGGTGAGGGTCTTTCCCCCTCCCCGCACCCTTCTCAGCATCACCACAAAGCCCAGAGGTTTTGAGGTCGGTTTAATGAGCAGCTTCGTCCTTCCCAGTCCTTCCCATTTCCCTTTCCTTTCCCATACAGTCTCTCCATCCCAGTCCCCCGGTGCCTCCAGGCTGCCTGGAAAAAGAGTTGGATACCTCGTTGCTCTGCCCTGCTTTTAATATTGAGTTTCTCTTCTTTGTAGGACTCGACACCCTGACTGCTCTTGGAGTCAACGTGTACCAAGATTCCCAGGATGTAAGCAATCCGGGGCTGGTGAGTGACAACGTGCTGGGCGGAGGATTTCAAGGAGGGAAAGGGGATGCGTAGGGGGAACGGGGGGGGGGGGGGCCAGACCTGGAGCCTGTTCAGGGGCAGCTGGCTTTCGTAGCTCGGACTCCGTTTCCCTGCAGATGCACCTAGAAGTGGCACAGTGCAGAGAATCCAGGGGTGAGTCCCCTGGCTTTCACTGGGGCCCTGCCAGTCCCTCCCTAGAAGCAAACCGAGTCTGTACAGCCTGGGTTTCCGTTCTCTGCTCAGATGACAGTAGCTCGGATGCACCATCCAGAGGGCCTGTGCTTGGAACTGTGTCCAGGGAACCTCTAACCAGGGTTAGGGAGATATTCTTAGAACAGAGAGGGAACTACCTGGTTTACAGGTTTGTAACCCCTAGCCCTGAGGGGACCTGACCAATGAGAGGTGAGAGAACCACCTTTGCACAAAGGGCCGTCATTGGAGAACGGGCAGCTACTGACTCAGCCTGAGGACGAATTCCTAACGGAAGAGGTTATGCCGGGGTGAAACAGGCATCCGCTGGAAGTAGTGAGTTCCCTGTCACTGGAAGAATGCAAGTGCAGGTTGCCGAAGCGTCAATGTCGAAGGAAGGAGCGGTTTTGACTAGGGCAGTGTCTTACAGACTCTGTTCCCGTGATGACCCGGAACCCCCAGGGGTAGTAGGGTGAGGGGTGGGGGGCTTGTGAGCACGCGCACTCTCTCAGCACCGCCTGTTTGATGGGGTTCTGCTGTAAAACTTCAGAAGTTGCTCGACGCGATGACCCTCGGGTCTTCCTAAGACCTGTTGTCCGTTGGCCTCAGTGGTTAGACAGCCACACATACCACAACACCTCACGTACGTGGTGGGGTGGGCAACTCTCAAGCACAGTGGCAGTTTTGAGTAGAAGCTCCGGGGAGCCCTGACCCCTGCCAAGACCACCAAAAGATTAACCAGCTAGTCCTACCATCCAGAGCTTTGATCCAGGCCACACAGACCAGAAAAAAAGGGTATGGGGGACGCTGTGACAGGATTCCCCCAGCCCCCAGGCTGTGGGAGGACAGCGAGGGTGGCTTCCTAAGGGGGTCGGGGCGCTTTGGCAAGACCCGGACCACACACTCAAGCTAGCATGAGAAGAATCGCACCCCAGACCCGGGTGGGGAATTTGCACAGGAGGGACACCCACTGTGAATGGGAAGGTCTGAGTAATGAGCCCCCAGGCTTCCTTTGTGCTTTGTGACTAGGTCGTCCTCCCCTGGGCCTGGGTCAGCTGCAGCTGTAAATATTTATCAAGGGCCCCTGAGGGCAGGGTGCCGTGGGAGGCCAGAGATGGGTTTGTTCTTTAAGAAACTAACAGCATGGATGAGAATTGAGTTTGACAGTCGTTGTGCATAGGCTGTCTGTTCAGCTGAGTCCTGAGCGCTGTGGGGGGCTGGAGGGTGGGAGACAAGGGATGGGAGGGGAGGCCTGAACAACGCATTTGAGCCAGGACTTGATGCTTTCTTGGCAAATCTTTAAGCAGGAGTGGGGCTTTGAGGGCATGGGCTGTGTCTTTGATTGACAGGACCTGCACATAGTAGGTGCTCAGTAAGTGATTGTCACTTGACTGGAAGGGGGAGTGACGGGGAGCCATCCAGGGAGGTGATGTCTAGTTAAGGAGGAGTCCGTCCGCCCAGGTTCAAATCCCGCCTCTTCCACTAAGCTGTGGGGCCATAGGCAAGTTGCTGACCTTATATACTTCAGTCTTCTCGGCTGATAGTGGGATTATGATAACACCTACCACACAGGGTGGCTGGGAGGAGTGAATTAACCCCTGTCCAGCAGCTTGGCCCTGGGCCAGTACATAGTAAGTGCCCAATAAACGTTAGCCCTATTCGTCTTCTACACGTGGGACATGACCCTGGATTAAGGTTCAGTGTTGGGACAGCATGAGGCAGAGGACAAAGCTCCGGGCTGGGAATCAGAAGCCTGGGCTTAACTGGAGGGAGGGGGGACAGGGAAGCGATCACACCCCCTGCACCCACTCTCTAGAATGGAGATGCTGTGAAAAGCTGGCTCCATTTCCCCAGCTCTCTCTCTGACGGGCCCTTGTAGTCCTGGTACCCGTCCAAAGGCAGGGGGCTGCTCAGCCATTTATTACTTGCTGGGGGCCCTCCTGAAAAGTGGTCTGACTTCTCAGGACCTCCTTGTCCCCCAGTGAACTGAAGACCAGGGCGAGCCTCCTCCTCTTGCAGAAATGATCTTAACAACTCAAAAAGCACTCTACGGAAGAAAGATTCTGTTGATGCAGATGGAACATCATTTAAGACTTGAGTTTGGGTGGCATGATCTTAAGCCTCACCAGCCAGTGCCCCCTTCCCCATCCCTTACCCGGTGAGGTCTGGCTGCCTCTTCAGGTGGGAGACTGATTCTCAGAATGATGCTTCGCTTTGTAAAAGGCACCAGTCAACACCAGGACTCGTAGCAGTGTTCAAATAAAAATTGCACTTGCCTGAACTGGGTATAGCTAGCATCTGCTGAAATCCAAGCCTCACACTCCACAAATGCCCATATTTGCCCCACAGGCAGACCTAGAAGAATCTAGACTGTGTTGCCAAGAAGGGCCCCCGGGGGATGGTTTGGGTACCCACCAATAAGAGACACCTAGGCAGCTTGGATTGCCAGGAAAGCGGGAGACTACAGTAGGCAGGCAGGCTAAATGGGGACATACGCCAGCCCATTCAAGCAGCCACCTCTGAAACCCTGTCCGGGGCGGGGTACCTTCGCCCAGGGTGCTCTCCGGGCTGTTGGGGTATGGGCCAAGTGCCACAGGCAGAGCGAGCCCCGCGTCTCCAACATGGGTCAAGGAGTGCCCACCGCACGTGTGTGTGTCACACAGGTGTGGGGAGCCCGGAACCCAAAGGAGAACAAGCGTGCGGAGAGGCAGGGTGATGGTGTTCTAGGCAGGGTAGCGTAGGGATCAGGGAACAGAACTCAAAACAGGATGTCAGGCAGTAAGCAACAGAGAAGGCTGCAGTCAGCCTACAAATAGTCAGGGACCTAAGTAAAGAAACGCCAGGCTCCTTTTATGGAGACCCAAGCATGCGCCTAAGTGCCTTAATGAGCGAGAATGACCCCTCCACAGGGGCGCTTGAGGGCACAAAGTATGCTCGCAGAAGATGCTAGGACGCGTGCGTCAAGTGACCAAAAGTAAGTGTGGGCGAGGTCCCCCAAAGCTCCACACTAAAGGGGCAAATCCCCCATCCCTCCCATGGATATTCAACCCCTCACTTTAACCTCCCTGTAAGTAGGTGAGACCCCAGCCTCCTGGGGCCGCTCCCTCTCCGAGCCTGCAGGCACTCCCTTCTTCAGTGTGTACTTTCCCTTTCAACACAGTCGCATTTGCCTGAGACATCTATCAGGCATTAGTAGTAGACCTGGACTATAGAATGAGCTTGCTCAGGGGCTTGCCTTTCACCTCCCCTGCCCATCACACTGCGACCCTAGATGGATAGTAGGACTGTAGTGTGAGCCAAATCATCTAGGGCACAGGCACTGCCCCTGTGCCTACGGGATCTTCAAAAATGTCTAACGTTTTGCCAAGTGACCCCCACTTCACTTCTCCCTTTAGTGGGAAGGGGCCGGGGATGAGGGGCTTTCCTGGGCAGCTTCAAAGGGGAGGCATTCAGAGGAAAGAAGCCCCAGTCCCTGGCTCTGTCATGCCTGCAGCTTCTCTCAGCTTCTGTGCCACCTCTGTTTAGATGAGGTACCCGGGCTAGGGCAGGGATGGTAAGGAGATTTCATCTTCTGGACTCCGATCAATTGCTCATGGCTGCCGGGACAGGGCACTGAGAAGGATTCCGAGGAATAGCCAAGAAATCGTGTGCTGCAATGGATTAGTGATGTCTGCTGAGGGAGCAAGAAAGAGGACCTGTAGCATCCGGGCCAGTTTTTGGCATCCCTGCACAAAGCAATTTCTAAAACCACTCACTCCCTAGCCCCATACTTCGGGGATTTTCTATCAGCAGGCTTGTTCTGCATCAGAGAGGCAAAGCACGGCCCAACTTCATTAATCTGGACCACGTTGGAACCAACCCGAGTAAGTGAGAAGTCTTCATCTTTGGGTATCTCCTGCATACAGGAGCTTTGTTACCTTTCAGTGAATGGAATCAAATGAACTAGCAACTAGTTACCTGGAGTCAGTGCAGGGGACCACAGTGATCTGTGCTTAGCAAGTCTGACCACGCGGCTGAGCGTGCCTGACCCGTTCTCCTAGGACGTTTACTCCATGCGCTGACGATGGATACGACCGAAACTCCAATGAAAGCAGGGTGTTTTTGAGGTAGAAAATCATTCAATGGGCAGCTTGGCTTCTATTTCAAATTGCCAGAGAATTTGAATTAGACTTGGCTGCACTCTCTGGGAATAAGCTGTTTTTTGCAGAATTCTATGCACAAGATGAGACAAAACAGTCTAGAACTAGATTTTCCCTGAGTTTCCTGATCTGTAAAATGGGGAAATAATACACCCCAGAGGGCCATCCGGGAGAGTAAGTGAGATAAAATGCGGAAGAGACCTCGCCGGCAATCTTGCTCACAAAAAGATGGTCAAAAAACTGCTATTTCTTCTCCCCCGTACCACCTCCTATCTATAGTCCCCCTGAAAGCATAGCTTTCTTCTTACAATATGTTCGAGAAAATGCTGTTACAGATAGATTTTTTTAAAATAGCATCATACTTTTCAAATGACTCCTGTTAGTTTTTTTCAGAGGCTTTTCCTTTTTATTCTCAATGATTTTTCAATGGGAAAGGTCCACTTAAACCTTCAACTTGAGTTGCTCTTGGTCCTCTGGGTGGAGTAGCGGATGCTCCCAGGGTCCTGACAGGCATGTGCATGAAGGCTTTGGTCACAGGTCTCTCCAGAGGATGCTGAACCACACAGTGACCAGACCGTGTCCACATCTTCCCTTGAACTCAGCAAATGTCAACACCCAAATGCCACGCCCCCTATAGGGAGAGTCAGGACC